AGCCAGGTGCTTCCTCCTGGTCTCCCATGCGGGTGCAGGGCCCAAGCACTTGGACCATCCTCCACTGCACTCCCTGGCCACAGCAGAGAGCTGCCTGGAAGAGGGGCAACCGGGACTATTCACAACAGCCAAGATGGGAAAACAATCTGCCTCTCTATAGCTGATGGAACAGGCAAAGAAAATGTGCTATATATTAAAAATATCAAAATGCAACATTATTCAGTCATAAAAATAGAATGAAACTCTGACATTTGCAGTAAAATGGATGGAACCAGAAGTCATTATGTTAAAAAAAAATAGTCAACCTGAACTCAGAATAATGATTACTAGTGACTGACAAGGGGAGAAAGAGGAAGGTTGGAGGTTTGGAGGTGCCAAAACACAGTCAGAGAGAGTAAGTTCTAGTGATTCAGGGACAGAGTGGTGGCACAGTGGGTTAAGATGCTACCTTTTATGCCAGCGTCCTGGATGAGTGCCTGTTCAAGTCCTGGCTGCTCCACTTCCAATTCAGCTCCCGGCTAATGCACCTGGGAAAACAGTGAAAGATGGCACAAGTACTTGGGCTCCTACTACCCATGTAGGAGATCCAGATGGAGTTCTAGGATCCTGCCTTTGGCCTGGCCTAGCCTAGTCTAGCCATTGTGGCCATCTGGGGAGTGAACCAGAGGATGGTAGTTCTCTCTCTCTCTCTGCCTTTCAAATAGATAAATCTTTTTTTTTTTTTTTAAAGAATTTTAGTGTTTGACCAGAATGTAGAATAGTGAAGTGACTAATTCACAATAACATATTACAGGGGCCAGCACTGTGGCGTAGCAGGTTGCAGTGCCAGGATTCCATATGGGCACTGGTTCGAGTCCCAGATGTTCCACTTCCGATCCAGCTCTCTGCTATGGCCTGGGAAGACAGTAGAAGATGGCCCAAGTGCTTGGGATCCTGCACCCATGTGGGAGACCTGGAAGAAGCTTCTAGCTCTTAGCTTTGGATCAGCCCAGTTCTGGCTGTTGTGGCCATTTGTGGAGTGAACCAGTAGATGGAATACTTCTCTCTTTCTCTCTCTGCCTCTGCCTCTCTGTAACTCTACCTTTCAAATGAATAAATAAATCTTTAAAAAAATAATGTAGTATACATTGAATGAAGAACTAGAAGAGAGGATCTTATAGACTCCAGATGTAAACACGTTGCCATGCTCAACTGGTTTATGTTGTATACATGTCGAGCAATTGTACTGCACCCCATAAAAATGCACAAGTATTACATGTTAATCAGAAATCTAAAAATAAATTTCAAATAAATTAATAGATTGATTCAAATCATGATGAATACGCCACAAACACATGATACAGAGTGTGAGAGAGTGTTTTTCCAGAAAAGTTCTGAAGCATAAGGAAATAGAAATAAAGTTCCTTTTCCAAGGCAGGAATATTATGACTCCACATTGTGGGAAAATGGGAGAAAAGAAGAAGCTCATTATATAGACTAGTAGTATTAAATGTATACAAAAATTTACTTCTATAGATTGTATCTTATTGAATTATTTTGAAATATGTATTGTTATTTAACAATGTATCCTAGAGCTTTTTCAGTGTTAGTACAAAATGTCTACCTTTTAAAAATATGACTATAGAAAGAGTAGTTCTGTGCCTAAATACTAACATTAAGCAATCAGAATAGGACATTAAGAAAAAAAACTCCATTTATAATAACATTAAAAATAATAAAATACTAAGAAATAAACCTAACCAGGGATGTGAAAGACATGTACACTGAAAGCCATAAGATGTTTCCAAAAGAAATTAAAGATATAAGCGATTGGAAAGACACCCCATATGTATGGATAAATTTCTAGACACATATGATTTACTAAAACTGAATTAGGAAGACATAGAAAAATTTAGCAGATCAATAACCAAGGATGAGGTTGAGTCAGTAATAGAGTCTCCCAACAAAATAAAAGCCCAGGATCAGAAGGCTTCACTGCTGAATTCTGTAATTCTTAAAAAAATATTAATGCATTTGTTTTGAAAGGCAAAGTAACAGAGAAAGGGAGAGACAGAGGTCTTCCATCCAATTGGTCACTACCCAAATGGCTGCAATAGCGGGAGCTGGCCCAGTCCAAAGCCAGGAGTCAGAAACTGTATGTGGGAGGAATTGGGCCATCTTGCATTGCTTTCCAGCACTAGTAAGGAGCTGGATCAGAGGTGGAGCAGCCGGGACTTGAACTGGCACTCAAATGAGATGCCAGTATCACATGCAGTGGCTTAACCCACTGCAACACCAGCCAGCCCCTTCTACAAGATTTTACAGAAAGAACTAACCCAAGTTCTCCAAATATTCCCAAAAAAATGAAATGGAGGAACCCTCTGAATTCATTCTATGAAGTCAGCATTTCTTTGATTACAAAATCAAACTTACAACAACACCAGCAGAAGAAAACTATGGGCCAATCACCTTGTTAGATGCATAATTTCTGAACAAAATACTAACATATCTATCTAATCCAACAACACCTTAAAAATATTATTCACCCTGGCCAAGTGAGACTTATCCCAGGGATGCAGGGATGGGTCAATGCACACAAATCAATAAATGTAAAATATCTCACTAACAGAAAGAGGATAAAAATCATATGGTCATCTTAACAGCTACAGAAAAGGTATTTGATGAAATGCAATATCCATTCATGATTTAAAAAAACCTTGGAAAATTACACATAGAAATAACATACCTTAACATAATAAAGGCTATATATTAAAAACCCACAACCAACATCACTGAATGAGGAACAGCTGAAAACATATATATGCTCTAAATCAGACAAGGATGACCACTCTCACCGGTCTTTGAGTATCCTTGCAATTATTCTTTAGAATTCTTTCTCTGGCATCTCATTTATATTTCTTTCTCTATGGTCTGATGATAATGCATTATTATGTTCCTTTTGGGGCATCATATTGCTTTGCTTATTCATATTTCTTGTGTTCTTATGTAGATTTTTGTGCATCCAGGCAATCAATTGTTTCTTTCTCTTTTAGAGGATGGTTTTTGTTGGTTGAAAGCTTTTTCCTGGAAATGTGGCTTTCGGATATTGGTTTGATAGACTACTTTAGGTTTAGTTCCAGTTGGACTTTATAGTATAGTCTCCCTATGTCTTTATTTGCTATATAGTTAATGGTAGCAGTGGTAGGGATATAGCAGGTTCCTGTGGCTCCGTGTGCTCACTAAGATTCCTGTTACATAGGTCCCCATCCATCTCCAGAGGAGAATGAGGAGCTTCTTAGGTATTGGAAGTATGCTCTGCTGGTACTGTGGGTGTACCTGGCACACAGACTCACAGCCCAATCCAAGTGAGGTGCTGAGGCTGCAAGATCAGTGCTGGCATCAGGAGCAAAATGGTCTCATAGACTCTAAAGCCACTCTTCAATTCCAGAGTTCCAGGAGTAGCACTAATGTTGGGTGGAGGAGACAGGTCCCACAGATGCTGCCTGAGAGAGGGACTGGATCTATGAGAGAGACAGCAAGAGAGAGAGAGAATCATCCATCCACTGGTTCATTCCCCAAATGTACACAGCAGCCACGGCTGGGTCAAGTCAAATCCAGGAGCCAGCAACTGCATCCAGTTCTTCCACAAGGGTGGCAGGGACTCAAGAACTTGAACCTTGATCTGCTGCTCTCTGGGTCCATTAGCAGAGAGTTGGTCAAAAGTGGAGCGGCCAGGATTCAAACTAGCCCTCCAATATGGAATGTAGGTGTCCCAAGCAGCAGCTTAACCCATGGTGTCACAAGACCCTTTCTTTTTCAGTTGAAAATTGAAGTTGGAGAGAAGTAGCACAGCACTGCCTTGGATTCCATAATGAACCCTTTCATGCGGATGTTCATCTATTCAGGGCCTGTGGTTCATTTTTTGCATAGCTTTTTTTTTTTAATTTTTATTTATTTATTTTATTATTATTTTTTTTTGACAGGCAGAGTGGACAGTGAGAGAGAGAGACAGAGAGAAAGGTCTTCCTTTTGCCGTTGGTTCACCCTCCAATGGCCGCCGCGGCTGGCGCGCTGCAACTGGCGCACCGCGCCGATCTGATGGCAGGAGCCAGGTACTTCTCCTGGTCTCCCATGGGGTGCAGGGCCCAAGGACTTGGGCCATCCTCCACTGCACTCCCGGGCCACAGCAGAGAGCTGGCCTGGAAGAGGGGCAACCGGGACAGAATCCGGCGCCCCGACCAGGACTAGAACCTGGTGTGCCGGCGTCGCAAGGCAGAGGATTAGCCTAGTGAGCCGTGGCGCCGGCCTGTGGTTCATTTTTAACCAATTTTAGTAATTGTGCTTTATCAAAAAGAATCTTTTTCTTCTCTTGTTACTTTTAAAAATTCCATAATTTTCAACCTTCTCCACATACTTAGTTATATTTCATTTCTTATGGCCCTTATTCCAGAGGAGTAAATAAAAAATAAAAAATAAAAAAGTCCATTTGCCAGATGAGATGAATTGGGTTCCTGAAAAGCAAGTGAAGAGTGGAATCCAGGGCCAACCCTGTGGTCTAGTGGGTAAAACCAACACCTATGATGCTGGCATCCCATAGGGAAACCGTTCAAGACCCAGCCAGTCCACTTCTAATCCAGCTCCCTGCTAATGTGCCTGGAAAATCAATGGAAGATGGCCCAAGGGCTTGGACTCCTATACCCATGTGGGGGACCAGGAAGAAGCACATAGCTTTGATCTGGCCTAGCCCCAGCCAACGTGGTCATTTGGGAAGTAAACCAGCAGATGGAAGACCTCTCTCTTTCTCTCTCTAACTTTGCCTTTCAAATAAATAAAAATAAATTCTTTTTAAAAAATAGTTAAAGAAGAGTGGGAACCTACTTTAAATAGCACATTATACTCTAGTGCAAAAAGACATGAGGTTTCTTCCTAGTTTCTAGAAGAAACAAAGTGTGGGGGGAAAAAAAAGAAGACTTACACATTTCCTATTATGGACAAACTAAACCAGAGAGCAGCTCATTGTTATGGGAGTCACAGGCATTCAGAGCCAGCACGTGGGCTACGATCTTGTGGATCTCAAGCCTGATAGAAGGGAAGGCATGGAAGAAGCACAGCTGTGGTCTTTTGGGGCCTGGGGTGGGGGGTGGGGGTGTCAGGGAGGGGCGTGGAGAAATGAGTGGTGTAAGCAAAACTATCCTCTATTTTTGACTACAGGAATGTGTAAGAAGCATCAACGTACCTCATTCACCCACCAACAGCTTATAGAGTTGGAGGCTGTATTTAGCCAGACCATGTTTCCAGATAAAAAACTCAAGAGCGAACTAGCTATGAAGTTCAACCTACCAGAGTCATCAGTAAAGGTCTGATTCCCAGGGTGCGCTTGGTACCCCATCCAAACCACTTCCCACTGAGAAGCCTGGAAATCCCCTCCCATCGCAGTAACAGCATTTGATTCACTGCGTACCCACAGAGCTGGTATCACACTGGGCACATGGTGTATGCCCAAGTCACATCATGAAGTTTTACACCTGTACTACAGTGTTCTCTTCCAGGAAAATTACTCAGAATTCTCTGGAACAAAACCCAGGGGTCTGTTTACTCATAACATTACCAATAGACAAATAGCTCCCTCTGACCTCAGAGTCCGCTAAGCCCCATACAATTTTAAGGATTATTTCTCACAATGGAGGTCTTCTAAAATAATCTTTAGAATGCCCTCAGCCTGCATTTCCTACCTCTCCTGGATGCCTGAACAAGTCTCTCTTTTCTAGAGGTCAGAGCCCCTTCTCTGAAATCCCAGCACAGCTTCTGAAACACATTCCCTTTCTTACATTCTTCCTTCTCTGGGGGCCCAAACCCTCACTGTCCATCTGTTGACTTCATGCCTGCCTCTTCTCTATCAAAACCCAGTGTCGTGGTGATTTGGAAGGGACATGAGGGTGTAATCTGGCTGTTTTCATCCTGGAGAAGCCTCAAATGCCTTCTCCCCTCTAACACACCACAATCTCCCCTCTTCCTCCACTCCAGGTTTGGTTCAGAAACAGGCGATTCAAATGGAGGAAGCAGCGACGGCAGTCACTAAAGCAACTCAACCAGGTCCTTCAAGCTGGGAAGAATATGCCCACCCTCCCCGGAACATCCACTGATCCTTACTCCTTTTTCCCAATGGTTTCAGATTCCCATAGCTCTCTTCCACCTCAGCCCTTAAACCCTTGCAATCAGGAATGGGATTCTCCCTTTGCAGAGAATCCCACAAATGATTTCCAAATGCAGGATCTTCATTTGGAGAGGCTAGTGGCCTCGGTTCCTGCTTTGTACCCAGGTGCCTGGGACATAGCAGAAATCATATACCTGTATAGTTTTCCTGATGAGGATGAGCTATCCAGATTTGCCTTCCACAGTCTATTTCACTATCTCTCACCCACAAGGCCCCATCTAGAACAATAAGGTTCCACCTCTCTCAGAAGCTGGGCTGGGGAAGCTGTAGGTTTATCTCCTGGGCCACACTGGACCAATACAACAAGGCAAGGCTTTGCAGCCTGCAGTCACAGAGGCAGACTAGCAGCTCAGAGCTTTTCCAGTACTGCAGACTTCGCCTTTCTCTGATCAAATATTAATAAATGCGGGACCACTTGGGAGAGGTCTTCTTGCCTCTTCGATATTTCTCTCTCTCTCTCTGTGGTCTGGTTTTTAACCTAAATGTTTGGTTGATGTCACTGTGGTTTCCTTGGGAATGCTGTAAAAACTAGAGTTTTATCCAGGTCTAACTCAGCACTATACGATCAGTCCCACAGCTTTGGAGATTGGGTGGGAGGGCAGGCATGGTGGGAAGAATCACCATGTTCTTAAAGTTGTAATTATGAAGTGTATGAGGGGGCCAGTGCTGTGGTGTAGCGGGTAAAGCCGCTGCCTGCAGTGCCGGCATCCCATATAGGCGTCAGTTCAAGTCCTGGCTGCTCCACTTCTTATTTAGCTCTCTGCTATGGCCTGGGAAAGCAGTAGAAGATGTCATATGGAAGACCTGGAAGAAACTATTGTCTCCTGGCTTTGGATAGGACCAGCGCCAGCTATTGCAGCCATTTGTAGAGTGAACCAGTGGATGGAAAATCTCTCTCTCTCTCTGCCTCTCCCTCTCTGTAACTTTGCCTTTCAAGTAAAATAAATAAATATTTTAAAAAGCTTATATATATATATATATGGCCTTAGGTCATAAGTTTTTAAGCAAGAAGGAAGCTGACACAATTAGATTAATATCTGTCAAATTAAAATTTAAGGCAAGATATTTTATTAGAATAGAATATATTTTAAAATGAACAATTAACCTAAAAGATACAATAATTCTGAACTTATATACATTTAACTGCATATACCAAAAACATATGAAGCAAAAATTAACAGAATTCTTGGGCAAACTTAATGAATGTAAGATCATAATGTGAAATTTTAATACAACAGTCTCAAGAGTTGACAAGTCAAATAGGTAAAAATTTAGTATAGACAGAAAAGATTTTAACTATGCATCTAAAAACTTGATCTCATGGAAGTATGTAGATTTATGCATCCACCTGGTAGAGAATACACAGTCCTTTTAAGCAGATATTATACTACAAAGAAAATATTCACTAATTCAAATAAATCATGATATATAGAGAATATTTGTGGATCATGAGGCAATAGAGTTAGAAGAAATTCCAACATCTCCATTTAGAAATTAAAGTCAATCAAGGAAGAAACTGTAAAATGAATACTTTGTTAGTATAAATTATATAATAATGATCTAGAACAACATGTACTGGGGGCGAAAAGTCATGGGAATTCTGATGTGGGAACATGTGCTCCTTAACTGGTATCTTAATCACCAGGCTAAATGGCCACCCCTAGAGTTTTACTTTTTAGAACAGTTTTAGCATCACAGAAAAATTGAGTAGAAAGTACAGAGAGTTCTCATGCACTTCCTGCTCCCACATACACACAGCCTCCTCCACTATCATCATCTCCCACTAGAGCAGCACATTTATTATAATGAGCCTACAATGACACATCATTTTCACTCAAAGTCCATAGTTTACAACAGGGTTCATTTTTTAAAATTTATTTACTTATTTGTAGGCCGGCACTGCGGCTCAATAGGCTAATCCTCCGCCTGCAGCGCCAGTACACCAGGTTCTAGTCCCGGTCGCTCCTCTTCCAGGCCAGCTCTCTGCTGTGGCCCGGGAAGGCAGTGGAGGATGGCCCAAGTGCTTGGGCCCTGCACCCACATGGGAGACCAGGGGGAAGCACCTGGCTCCTGGCTTCGGATCAGCACGGTGCGCCGACCGCAGCACGCTGGCTGCAGCGGCCAATGGGAGGTGAACCAACGGAGAAAGGAAGACCTCTCTCTCTCTCTCTCTCTCTCTCTCTCTCTCTCTCACCGTCCACTCTGCCTGTCAAATAAATAAATAAATAATAAAAATAAATTTATTTACTTATTTGAAAGTCAAAGTTACACAGAGAGAGGAGAGACAGAGAAAGGTCTTCCATCCGCTAATTCACTCTCCAATTGGCCTCAATGGCCGGAGCTGTGCCGATCCGAAGCCAGGAGCCAGGAGCTTCTTCCAGGTCTCCTACAAGGGTGCAAGAGCCCAAGGATTTGGGCCACCTTCCACTGCTTTCCCAGGCTATAGCAGAGAGCTGGATTGGAAGAGGAGCAGCTGGGACATGAACCAGTGCCCATATGGGATGCTGGTACTGCAGGCAGAGGCTTAGCCCTACACCACAGTGCCACTTCCCTAGAGTCTACTTCCTAACTCATCCTATGAAACAGTATTGCTCTGATGCCAAAATCAAAAACAGACATCACAAGAAAATTATTCTTCTGGACATAAATGCAACAAATCATCACTAAATTCCAGCAACACAAAGAAAGGATTATATACCATGACCAAGTGCAGTTTAGCTAAGAATGGAAAGTAGGTTTGATACAATTCATCACAGTAATATGCAACCTAAACATAGACTAGCAGACAAAAACCACAGGATCATCTCAGTAGGCACAGAAACACGTGACAAAATTCCACTCTCATGATAAAGGCACTCCATAAACTAAGACAGAGTCTCAAACTTCTCTTCTTGAACCTGATAGAAGCCATCTGCACAAATCTATAGATAACAGCACAGTTACTGGTGAAAGTCTGAACACATTCCCCTAACGGCAGGAAGAAGTCAGAGATGGCTGCTGTCATCACCCTTGTTCAACACAGTGCTGGAAGTGCTTGGTAGGACAACAAGGCAAGAAAAACAAGTAAAAAACATCCAGACTGGAAAGGAAGAAGTGAAAATATCTCTATTTATGGATGGCACCAGAAATCTATGAGAAAACTGAACTGACAAAGGAGTTCAGCAAAGTTGCAGGATGCAGAATCATTAAAGAACTTTTTTTTTTTTTTTTTTTTTTTTTTTTTTTGCACAGGCAGAGTGGGCAGTGAGAGAGAGACAGAGAAAGGAGAGACAGAGAAAGGTCTTCCTTTTCCGTTGGTTCACCCCCTAGTGGCTGCGGCCGGCGCACCGCGCTGGTCCGAAGCCAGAAGCCAGGTGCTTCCCCCCGGTCTCCCATGTGGGTGCAGGGCCCAAGCACTTGGGCCATCCTCCACTGCACTCTCGGGCCACAGCAGAGAACTGGCCTGGAAGAGGGGCAACCAGGACAGAATCTGGCGCCCCAACTGGGACTAGAACTCGGTGTGCCGGTGCCACAGGTGGAGGATTAGCCTAGTGAGCCCTGGCGCCGGCCATTAAAGAACATTTCTTATTTTTTAAAAAGATTTGTTTATTTATTTATTTGAAAGGCAGAGAGAGAGAGAGAGAGGAGGGAGAGCGAGAAAGAGAGAGAGAGAGAATCTCCCATCCACTGGTTCACTCCCCAAATGGCTGCAATGGCTGGAGCTGGGCCGATCCAACACCAGGAGCCAGGAGCCTCCTCCAGGTCTCCCACGTGGGTGCAGGGGCCCAAGCACTTGGTCCATCTTCTGCTGCTTTCCCGGGCACATTAGCAAGGAGATGGACTGGAAGTGGAGAAGCCGATACTCAAACTGGTGCCCTTATGGGGTGCCAACCCTTTAGGCGGAGGCTTATCCTTCTGTGCACCAGCACCAGCCCTGTTAAAGAACATTTCTCAATTTTCAACTGCTGGTTACTCAAGTGAAATAAGTTTACCGCTATGGACATACATGCATGGGAGGATCCAGGGAAAAGCAGTATCCAGTAACTGCTAATTGCATCAGATTTACCACATCTGGTTTTAGTCAATAATATATTCAAATAATAGCCAGCATTAATGCACACTGAGCAACTATACACATATATATGTATGTATGTATACACATACACATGTGTATTATTGTGGAAAACTGAATTAAAAATAAGTTCACTTTGGTGCAAAAAATTTCAAAACCTACACAAACTATTTTTTTCATGATACACAATCCCATGAACTTTTTGAAGAGCCTTTGTATTCATACACAGTCACACCAAATGTCATCCCCATTTCACAACTTGGAAAAATTAGGTTGAGTATGAGTAACTAACAATCAAAGCCACACACTGAAAAATTAGTAAAGTCAGGAATATATCATTTCTTAGAAGACCTCAGAATGAGTATGTCTGAGGAGGGTAAAATAAAGGAGAACACTAGACTGGGAGTTAGAAGAACTACTGGGTGAGCCTCTGGCTTCTCTACTTGGGAGCTGTGTGATTGGATGAATGGTGTATCTCCTCAGAACCTCTGTCTCATCTCAAATGAGGCAGCTGGACTAAGTGATAGCTAAGCCTTCTCCACCTCTCATTCTTTCACTCTGGACTTACAACCCTGTGCCTGAGTTCACAATTACAAACTCTTCCTTCCCCAGACACCTGGGAAAGATCAGGGCCGGGAGAGGACAACCATCCACTTGTCATGACAAGGAATCGGAGAAACAGAAACAGGACAGCATGTCACTTGCACAAATTGCTGCTTCAGCCAGTGATGGACTTCGGTGAGAAGTGTGTGGTTATAATTAGAGCAGTTGGCTGTCCTGAAATGCTGCACCAGCCTGCCGGCTGCACACGCAGGAGTCTGAGAGTTTTCTCTGGCCTTGAAAATGATCCTTCTGAAGAGGATTCTCCTCCTTCTTCGAGGGAAAGAACACCCATTGATGTAAAAGCCCACTTCTCATCCGGCTTCCCCCGCTAAATGCCACTCCAGAAGGAAGCAAGTGTTGACACATGGAAGGGAAGGGAAGAGTCGTAAGCTGAGCCTGGTCACATTGCCCCGTGTGATATAGTTTTATTTTTAACTTCGCAACACTTGAACTATTTCTGTTGAAGTTTGCTCTCCTTTCCTTGCCTTCCCGACAGAACTCTGTCCTGTGCTGCAGCCGAGGCGGCCCAGCCATCTCCATGCAATTGCCTTGCTCACAATCGAGACGCAGGTGCAGCCGATGCTGACTCAGCCCGTACCATTCAGGTAAGCTTTGCAAGCATGAACAGGTGCACTGAGGGGGCATTCGGAGTGGTGGGCCTGCAGATGGAGGCTCAAGTGGGCACACCACCTTTGTACCCTAAGGAATAGGGTTAGTAAGCAACTTAATTATATATGGGAGGAAGGATTGGCACTGAGAACGAGAACCAGTCATGTGTGAATTCCTGCTTCAAGTTTAAAATCTTAGAGCAGCTTAGAATCTAAACCACTTTCGGACAGCTTCAACTGGTTCTTCTATAGCCAACCAGAGTAGTTCTGTGGAATTGCTGAAGTTCTGTCTACAGTAATAATGGGGAAAGGGGGGGGGGCTGAAAAGAGCAGAGGGTGAGGAGTTAGGTGAAAGACCCAGAATCCAGAATTAGTGTTTTGTAAAGTCCAAATGCTGTGATCTTTTCTCCACTCAACAGGTGCCATATTAATTGCAAGTCACTCTCATGTAGCTTAAATTCCATTTCCCATATCACACTTCCAGTTAACACAGCACAACTGTATTTACTGCATGTACTATTTAAACTGTGCATGCAGCATTTAAAACCTATTTTTCTCTAAGAATATGCCCCAAGTGAAATTCTCTTCTCACTTCTTTTGAATCCAAAATAGACTTATTAAATGTAAGTGAAAGTATTTTACAAGTTGAAAGACTTACACAACAAAACCAAAAATTGTTAGACTTGAAACTTGCTCATCCACGGGGACAAAGATAAAATGACTAATGATACTTGAGGTATTGAAAACTATCAAATATATGCAGATCATTTTTTAGCTTCTGGAATCTGTGGATAGTGGCAGAGATAAGTGAGATATTATTTTCTTGTTTTTCTCTGGTTCAAAGTTCAGCTAAGGACATCCTGGGACATGGCCTATGCAGCCGAAGGGATTCTGTACACTCTGAACTTGGAAGTGTACAGGCTAAAGCCACCAAGGCCAAGTTCAAAGAGACCTAAAGCAATTACTCACATACCTTAACTCCCAATTCCTTCCTGTCTGCCTCTGCCGCCTCCAAACATACCTTATGTCTCTGTTGTACTTGTCTGGGTTCTAATTATGCCCATTTTCTAGGCACACTCAAGTTCCCTGTGTATAATTGCCTAACTTTCTTTAATTTTGCCAAGGTTTGCATGGTGCCAAAGTCTCCAGATGGTACAAGCCAGGTGTCGTCCTAGTGAGACTAGGCTGTGTTGGCTTAGTAGCAATCAAGCCGACGGGCTGACTCAGAGCTACACCTAGGTAATCCAGGCAGTTAAGCACTTTCTCTGCCAATACAACAGTAATTTAAAATACAGTTGACAACAAACCAATAAGCACCAGGTTTGAGAATTAATTAATGAATGAAATAACTAAAAAGTTTAAAGTTAGAAGATTTCTAGTATAGATGGAGAATTGCAGATTATGAAGTTGAGTAGATCTGGGAGAGGATGGTTATACTTTTAGGGGCTAGTGAGGGAGGTGGTGTCATAGCCTAGAAACCCAGGATTGTGAAGTCAGATGAGGGAGTTTTCCCCAGCCAACTGGCTTTGTTAAAATATCAAGAGGCAGGGGGCTTACTTAACACATTTATACTTTCTATATTTACTTTCCATGGAATTTTGCATTTCCATAGCAAGCAATCAGATTAACAATGTATAATTAAAGTAATTAATTGGCTGGTTAGTAGGTTAAGAGTCAAAGAATATCATTGGTTTTTAACTTTTATTGAAGATAAAGCTCAGAAATAAATCATTATTGCCAGGGCTAGCCACATGAAGACGCAGAATAGTCACTGATATCATGTGAAGGGAGCAAGAAGGCCCCTTGCCTAAAAATATCTCCCTGACATCAACCCTGTGTGCCTGCTAACATGAAAACTATAGTAAAGAATGTCAAAGCTATTGTTTGTTAATCCCATTCTCTTTTGATTGAGTCAGTGACTTAAATACACCTGCTATATGCGTTACCCTGACCTTGTTGGTGACACTTGCTCACCGCCTCCTCCTCATTCTTCCAGGCTCTGTCCTGCTCTGCCCTGGGTTCCATCTCAGCTGCCTGAATATGCTCATGGCCACTCCTACACAGGTAGCTCCATGAGGCACTGTGGTTTTTATAGCCTTTTGCAATAAGACATCAAAATACAGTAGGAAAAAAAAAAAAAAAGCCTGTGATTAGGACCAGAGACTATGGGAGCATGGGTAAGACAGTTCACTTGCTACTTCCATGTACCACAGTTTCTTCTCTAGGAAACAAAGAGATCAAACTGGAGCCTTCCTTTCCAAGTGAGGTCATTGGATCATCACTGTCTCCAGAACTTGTAAGAATCTCAGGCCTCACCCCAGTCCTCCTGACTCAGATTCTGCATTTTACAAAGATCGCCCATGTGGTTCCCATGCATGTTGACATTTGAGAATGGTGCAATGGAGGATTTCTGCTCCTCTACTTGCTCCAGGCTCCTGATTCTGTGGCTGCAAGTATTTAAAAGAACAGGTCTGCAAGCCCCCTGGAAATAATCCTGGCAGCATGCAGAGGGTCTGTCATAACTGGAGTCTGCTGGATGAAGTCATGTTCATTTAATGCAGGTACATTAACCTAATCTTCAGTTGGAAAGACCTCTTTTTCTGCCTTAAAAAAAAAAAAAGATATCCCAAATTAGTACCCATCTGACATCACTACTCTTTCCTCCTAAACTTATTTCAAATCACACTCACAGATCTTTCAAAATGCTCCCCTCTTTAGGGCTCTAGTCCACTGAATTCAATTCGTCCATGAACCCTGATGGGATGTTGGCAGCTGTGTTAGCTGCACTTGCTCTCCAGTCTCTCAGATGCCACTCAGGACAGGCCTGGAGGGCATTAGTGCTCCCTCCACGACAGGCCACAGCCCACTGGTTTTAGCCCTTCTGCTCCACTGACGCCCAGCAAAACCTCTCTCATAGTCATAGCTCACAGCACCCCCAACAGCTCGAGTCACTGCCCACAGCAAATCGCAAGAGAGAAGCTGAATCTCTCTTCTTCCCTTCCCTTTTCTCTTAATGTAGGTAAATAATAAAAACTACCAACTCGGGCCTAGCAAACAAAGATGCCCTCTGGTTGTCTTGTGCTAACAGTATGGAAGCAGTGCTACTTGAATCCCTAAGGAACGCTCTGTGGTAGTTAGAGGGGGCCCAAAGGAGGGAAAATTACGGGAGTTTACATTCTTAAAATAATGAGTACGATTTTTAAATTTTTCTATTTTTTATCTTTTTTTCTGGGAGGTAAGATGTTTTACAAAATGGAATTCAAAAATTATGAAGCTGGCAGCTATATAAGTGCACTGGAGTGAGGGGGCACTGAGCTGGAAGGCCAGCCACGGGTAGGGGAGTGATGCAATGAGAAGAAATGAAGGCCTGCACAAGGCAGTGACCATGAGAGTGACAAGAATGACCCTTAACTGAGGGATGAGGGTCTTCAAATGGAAAACAATATCGTGAAAAACAAATGAACTTATCAGGATTCAGTCAATGGACACTGGAACAGAGAACTGAATAAGGAGATATCATGTCATAAGGCAACCAACTGTGTGCGTGTGTGTGTGTGTGTGTGTACATATACATATAAAATATGATCATTTGGGGGCACCATCAGTTACTCCAACTTAAGATCATCAATCAGTTGTCCAGGTTTGGTCAGGACTGAGGGGTTCCCTGGGCCACAGAACTTGCAGTGCTACACCAGGAGAGTCTCAGGAAAACCATGACAATTGGTCGCACTACTTCTCCTGCAATAATTAGGCTATGAAGGATTCTGGATTGACATATCTCTGCGAGAAAACTGCCCCCAGATAGACAGCAAAAGGGTCAGATTTTTTTTATGTCCTTTGTCTGTTTATCTTTCTCTTTCCTTCCAGTGCCAAAATTCTTCACCTACTGTGTCTTTCTGCTCAACACATGTCCTCTCTCAAAGTCACTCATCTAGTATCACTCCAGAAGATCTTTAAATAGCAACATAGAGTGAGAGCGAGAGAGGGAGAGAGTCTTTATTGCCTGATGCATTTGTTTCCTCTTAAAGTTGTATTTTCAAATAACTTCAAATCAATATAGAGCAGTAAGTCTATATCCAAGTATTCTCAGCTTTAATAACACTGTTCCCAAGAACCTTCTTTGCAAGCTGAAAGGCAGAAAATAACTGGGCTTAGAATTCATCACCAGTGTCCCTCTAGCCAGACACAACCCTGTGCTGGGACACATACACAGAGAGCACACAGAACTACCCAACCCTTCTTTTCTCTTCCCAACAAATGAGCTCTACTTGGTACAACAGGATGGCAAATAGGAAGTTGGACATTCCTGGTGCTGGCAGCTTTTTCTGTACAATTTAATTCTATTTTTGTGTTCTGCCTCTTCTTTTCTAACTAAAACCCAGCGTGGGAAGCTGAATCATTCAGACTCCATCCTTACTAAGGAATTTCTCTTCTGAATAGAAAGCAAACAGTCGCATTCTCTAGGCCAGGACATAGGCCCTGCCAACACAAAACTTCCGCCTTCCTTTTGAGCTAACACCACATTTTGAACAGCCAAGCATCCCACTGCATAGCTGAAATGCCACATCTGCTCTGGCAACAGCTCTGTGGGGCTCTCCCATAAGCAGCAGCGTTGTCATCTCTGTTCTCAACTTCGCAATAGAATTTGAGGCTGTAGTGCTCTCTCTCTCTCTCTTTCAAATGTGTCTATATAGTCCTGGCTCTCTCAGCTTTCTGGTCTCTTTTTGTCTGGCTCTGCTTTTCCCTAATGTTTCCCAAAATTTTACTAATGTACTTCATGGATCAGATTTCTATTCTGTGTTCTCACTTCCCTGGTTATGGCTTCCTTTCTCACTTTCAAGTAGATATTCTCAAATATGCATCCCTACATACTCCAGTCCCTCGTCTTCCTGTCCACATGATCTTTCATCACCTTAAGCAACTTGAATTAAACTTGCTGTACCTGACTTGCCTTTCAAAATATTTGCCACTTCAGACCTCTAATTCTTCTTAAATTTTTAGCCAATATTTTTTTTTCCTGGTTCAAAAGTTTGGCATCAACTTTGACTCTTCTTTCCCCATCTCCAGCCAGAAACAAAAGTCTGATTCTCCCTTGAGATGTCTCCTCCCAGTCTCATCTTGCCTATTTCTGTTGTCAGTCTCCCTCATCACAGTTTCTAACACTTAGTCCTCCTACTCCATCCATCCCTCTGCAACTGCTGATTAACACCCCAGTTACAATGCTAAATGGCCCTTGAGTTTGTGCAAATTATTCCATATATTCTAGCTTAATATTTCAGAAATTCCACAGTTCATCCATAATGGGTTTCCCCTACCCTCAACCCAGAAGTGATCTGAAATGGCAGCATTCCATTTGTCATTAAACTGAAAGCTAACAGATCAGCAGCTGGACTCTTGGATCCAAAAGATGTGTTCCTTGCTTGATCTTATGCTGCTCCACCACAGTCTTAGTATTTGGGCTGCTATAGCAAAACACTACGGACTGGGTACCTTATAAACAACAGAAATTTATTTCTTGCAGTCCTGTAGGCTGGAAGTCCAAGTTCAAGTTGCAGACAGATTTGCTATCTGTTAAGGGCCTGCTTCTTGGTTTACAGATAGCCGTCTTCTCGCCGCATCCTGTCCAAAGAGGACCTATCCTGAGCCTCTTTTATAAGGACACTAATCCCATCACCTCCGACATTCAAATACTTTCACACTGGGGATTATGTTTCAAATGGGAATTTGACTGGGGGTTGGGGGGTAGGGGGGGGACACAAACACCTCGACTTCAGCTCAGTCCAGCCCCCACAACTCTTCCAGCATCTACTCCTGTCTCTGTTCAACTCCTTCTCAGGATTTAGCACCTTGGTTCACCTTCTACTGGTCCCTGAACCTATCTGATGCTCTGGCTTGCAAATTCTCATCTTCTGTTTCAGGAGGATAGAGCACTCTGGCACAATAGTCACCCCGTGGTATCTAAAATAAGAGTTCTCATTTATTAATGTGCATAAGAATCAGCTGGGGAATGTGTTAAAAACATAAATTCCACACTCCTCACTCAGGTCAAGGGAGTGGCTAGCATTTGTACCAATGCTTTCCTATAGAATTTTCTTTTTTTTTAACAAATAATTTTTTTTTTTATTTGACAGGTAGAGTTATAGACAGTGAGAGAGAGACAGAGAGAAAGGTCTTC